GGGGGGGGGGGGGGGGAGCTGCGTTGTCAGCTGACTTGATGTGTCTTTATTTCCTTTCATAGTCGTACTTGTGCATGTCAAGGACTTGATCCAGAAACTTGTGGAGCGTCATTCTCATTTGGCTGTTCATGGAGTATGTATTTCAATGGCTGTAAGTTTGCCAGAAGCAAAAACCCCAGGAAATTCAGGCTTCTCACTGATGACCCTAAACAAGTAAGATTTATTTTATTTATTTTATTGTTTTGTTTTCCTCCAAATACTTATTCAGATGATTTTCAGAACTAGAAATGAAATCTATGGATATCCACCCCTTCTCTCTCACACATGTATGCATAGCTTATCACACAGGCACCCGATTAAATGTTTTGTAACTGTAGTATTTATAATTTTTCCACTGTATGAAAACTCAGTGTTGTTTACTATGTCTTTAAATACCCTAAAATTATCCTTAAATGCTTCTCTGTATGCATATTTAGCTCCACTGTGTAACTCTGTATGAAATGTTAATTCTTTGTAAGTATAAAATACAGCTAAAGGTTTTTCTAAGCACCACGGCTGCACCTCAGAGATTCAGTCCTTTTGCCTTGTCATAGAAAATTTTGTACCTTGGGTTGCACTGCTTTCGCACTGCTGTCTGACCAGCTGACAACCTGGTCTTCTGTCTGCCATCTAGAATAAACTGTTTTTTCTGTGGACAGGATGTTTTTTAAACACTCTTGAAGGAATGAATACACTAAAATATGATGCAGTGAAATGATATGTAATTGCTGCTTATGAGTGTTAGTGATGACATAAAGCTGAGATAACGCAGAAAATACGGTGATGGATTATGTGAAGTAATGCACCTCTAAAAAAAACCAACCAAATTCAGTTTCTACATTGGAAATATTTCCATGAAGAAGGAGTGAAGGTGTTATAAACTGAAACTGATAACCGCTGCCTGATGAGCATACATTCCTCGGGATAACTCGAAAGTGCCTTTTGTTCTGACTGTAGATGTCTCTTCCCTGTGGAACTCCTAGATAAAAGTATCACGTCTTTACTAGCACGTCTGGCGTGCTTTAAGAGACATATGCTATAGGGCAGTCAGTTACCTAGTTCTCCGTTTGGGTTACCCTGCCGATAATCTTTCTCGGCTCCTGAACTCCACTGCTGCCAGCTACAGAAAAGACCTGGCTGGCTGAAGTCAGGAAATAGCAGAGGTATTCGTGCATTTTTTAAGGTGTGGTGTACACATGCGTATGTACACACAATGTGAAACAGTAACTGTTTCTTGGAAGAGAGAGATGTCAGTTGATTGACTGGAGCTGGATATTCCTCCCAAGTCCTATTTTTTTCTGAAAGAGTTGATGAAGCATCTTTTATGCCTATGTGCATGAATGCAAAACCCTCAAATCTCCTTTGAGTTGTGCTGCCCGCTCGCATTGTGGGTATTCACAAACTTCGTTAGCGCTTAGAGTGGGGAACTTCTGCCTCAGCAGAATAGAGCACACACGGCCCTTCTGCCCTTCTTCTCACTGAATACATGACTAAGGCAGTACAAGCTGAAAAAAGCCCTGCTTGTCTCAAGAGGGAATTTGTTTTATGAATTTTCAATTTATAGAAAAACATATTTATTGGGCATTCTTTCATTTTAGGACTCCTGTTCCTTCTCCTTTGTCCTTTTCTGTTCTCTGTGATCCTGTGTTTTTAGGTTCTCCCCCTGTGTAAGGCTGTGCGTGGAATGTTCTACGCCTGTGTTTTCTCTGTAGGTTTCTAATGTTTTTCATACCGTTAGCTGGGGAATCAACAAAGGCAGCAACCTTTATACGTCCTGTCTAATAAAATACTAGGCTGTGCCAGATCTCTTATGAGAGAGCTCAAATAGATCTTTGATCAGAATACGCGCTGTGCGACTGCAAGCTCTGTTGGTGGCATTACTTCCTCTGAGTCTGTGAAATGGCCACCCTGAGCTCCGTTCCGACACTTAGTCAAGCACATGGCGTTCACAGCAGTGTCTAGAAATGGTACCCCACTCCTGAGAGCTGTCTGGCATTGCCTGTTCACTTGACAGGTAACCTGTAAATTTTTGGAGGAGAATGCCTTCTACCACAGTGTAAAACCAGTTGCCTAAAAGAGAAGATTACTTAACCAGGACATTTTCTAGATGCGTGATCTGAAAGTGCATTCCCTTATTTCTCCTCTTCCGTGGAAGTTGTTTTAAAGCCTCCTTGGATTCTGCAGCTGAGGGGGGATGAGGGTTGCACAGCACGCCGGTACTCCGTAACCGTGTGTGCCTGCAAGGGAAGCACGTGCACCCTTAGCCTACCGCTGTGCAAAGAGCCTCCAGCTGTAGGCGACAGCGGTGCTCAGGCACTTGCAGTGTGCATGCAGGTTGTCAGTGCACCTCAAGTGAAATTACTGGTAAATAATGTTTCTCTGCATTTGGTTTTGTCATTAATTTTTCTAGCAGATACTTCTTTTAGCTAAATACTGGATATTGATGATTTTGCAGATGACATAAAGCTAGGAGGTATAGCAAATTAAGAAGAAGATAGTTCGAAGTCCAGAAAGATTTGGATCATTTGAGGCACTGGATGGAGTGAGATGAGGTTAAGGGTGTAATATACCTAGGTAAGAATAGTACGTAGGATAGATAATTAAGGATGCATTACCTTCAATGCAGTTAGTACAGAAAAACTTGCGGTAGCAATCAACAGTTGATAAACTGGCTATAGTATGAGTTAAGAATACAGTATAATTTTGTAATGTAACATCACATTGAAAAATGTGAACGTATCCTTATATGTTTATATACATTGGTGTTTACAATATATGGTGATAAGTGGTTTGTGGCTTTTTTTTTTAAACAAAATAAAATAAGCTGTTATTTTTTGCCACTCTACAGTATGCAAAACTGAAGCTGCAGTTGTCTCTCAAAGCCTGGCCCTTGGAGGAAAACAAAGTAGGGAGTATGTCACCACCCTTTTCTTCCCCAGTTGATTGGTGATTTTTCCTGGTAAAGCAAAAATTTAGGAAAAGAATTTAGGGATTGTTTCTGTAAATAAGAGCTTAAATGTTACACTGCCATAGAAGCCCACCTAGCTAGTTCCACATAAAGTCCTGAGTTTTGCACTTCCAAAGGACAAAATATTTATCAAATGTTCCTGATAAGAGTTCTGTTGCAATGTTAGAAATACCCCTCTTCCCCTAAGAGCTGAAATTAATGTTAAATGCTAGCGGGAGTTACTCATACGATTAAAAGAAAAAGAAAGTGGAAACCTAGGATTCTTTTAGCAGGGCTGTATCGACATAAATTAAGGCCCCATAAGAAAAACACTAAAAGACGACCTGGGGTTCCATCTCCACTCAGCATGTGGTATAATTATTCTCTCCTAGGTGTTACTTCTCTATTTTTTGTGGAACGTACCTCATTCCTTGACTGTCTATGTATCGGAAGGGGAAAATGATGCAGAAATTAGTTCCTCGTGTGTTGGGTTTCTTTGCCCTAGCAGATATCCTCCATTGTTATTTCGTTGACTTATATTTAACAATTGTGGTATTTTAGTCATGGAAAAGTAGGCTTATTTATGGTTGATGACAAAGGGCAGCAGAACAGAAGTCAGATTAATAAAATATACGATAGAGGCTAACTTGTCAGGCATCTCTAAACTGGATTAGATTCTTTTAAAGGAAATTACAGCGCTCTAAATCTTGCCTTTCTCTGCAGGAGGAACTTCTTGAAAATAATTTGCAAACTTTAGCTACTGATGTGGCTCCGGTTTATAAAAAGCTTGCTCCTGAAGCCTTCCAGAACCAGGTAGGTCTGTGACATTCGGCTAGTGTAGCTGTAGCTTTGAACAGGCAGCGTCGCTTGAAGACAAGATGAAACCCCAAAGTATGTTCAGGGGTAGGAGCTGCAGAGCTCACAGATGTGGTGAATCCCCTTGTTTACTTACAGTGGTTGCTTTATTTGGTTAGTTTTAAAATACTGCACCTTTCTTATTTCAGCTGATGGTTAAGTTATGCCCTGAGCTGTGCATATGTAAAAGGCTTACAGATAATACCATAAATAAAATGTTTTTATTATTTAAAGACATTTTGACTGTGGCTGAGCTGATTATCTCATTGGCATCCAGTCCTAAGTGTTGCATGTTTCATAGGAAAATACATGCTTTCCGATCATTCTTAGTGGCTGCGTTTATTCTGTCTCAAGTGCAGTTGTGCCTCATGGGGTTCCCAGTCGCTCACTTTCAGTCCCAAGTACCTGTAGTTTATTTTACTTTTAGGTGGAGAACGAACACATGGGCCCGGACTGTCGGCTTGGATCCAAGGACGGTAGGCCTTTCTCTGGTGTAACAGCTTGCATAGATTTCTGTGCCCACGCCCATAAGGACACACATAACATGCACAATGGAAGCACTGTGGTATGTACATAGGATTTTCTCATTTGTACTCTTTACTGTTGTGATTACTGTGTGTTTTAAAATGCTGCTTGATTTAGTGGGTACATTTGCATGAAGTTTTTGAAGGTGTTATGACATTAACTGCATGTTCCTATTTATAAATTCCCATGTTATTTGCATCTATTCATTACTGGTCTACAGAGGACATAAGTGCATCGTATTACAGAACAGATCAAGAAAGGTATGGGAGTGATCCTTCCTACAAAATACCTTAATTCTTTTAAGACATCCAAGCCCCTTGGAGAGGACTGGCCATAGGACAGATAAGCTATTCACAGTAGAGGTTTGATGTTCAAAGGCAAATAATTGTCTAACCGAGGAGTTGTATGGACTTCTGTAGAGGAAGAACTAAAACAAACTCATTATTAATTTATCTCCCCGAGGCTCAGTTCTCATCAATTCACTTTTTCTTGCACTGTGCACTTACCAGGCTTCGTGTTCATATAGTTACTCGTCAGAAAGTAGAGGGTATGATACCATGGGGTAGAAGGTGGAGCCAGGTGATTATTATGATCTTTAAGTCTCAGTATGAAAGGAAGACCCACAGATGTGTTTTTTTAGATGTGGTCATTGTACCAAATACCTTGCTGGATTGCTAGTGAGAAAATCAGTTGGGAATTACTCAGTTAAGTGATCATTTAGCAGTTGAGACCATAGTTGTGAAGAAATGATAAAAGATAAAATAAAACTGACAATCTGGGTTTTTTTAGTAGTTAGAGCATTGTAATGCTCTAAATAGCTAGGATGACTTCTTGTACATCAGTGGAGGTAATATTTATGAACAGTTTCTTTATCAAAAGATGCATATCTGGAAAAAAGAAATCCATCTAAAAATCTCTGCTTAGAAACATCTTTTTTTTAAATTAGGAAATGAAAATTGAATTCTTATGTTGCTGTGATTGAATAAAACGTTGCATTTACACATATACTTAACATTTAGCATTTGTATGTAACAGCAATTAAATGACTGGAACAATTGCTTAATATTAATTGTGTGCTTGTATGTTGGGCAAATGTCCGTTGCTTTAAAGTATGGAAGCA